GCTTTATTCCATGTTCCTGGGAATGGCTCCTTCACCCTGGCAGCAGGAGCAGCCAGAGGTGCTTTCATCCCTGGAAATCAGGGCTCAATCCTGGCCCTTGGAAAGCAAAGCAACTGCTCACACTTTGCTGCTTTGCTCACGGAATTCCATTTGGCTTTAGAAGGGAATGGGGAAGGAACAGCACCCGATTTAACGCCAGGAGCCCCTCTGGGTGCGGGTGCTGCATTCCGGGATGGAGCGGGCCGGCCGTGCCACCCTGGCTGGGGGTTTGGAGCTCCAGGAGGGGCTGGCTCAGCCCCTGCCCGCACACCCCCCAGCTGCTGGCTGGCTGAGTGGTGCTCCCTGCTCTGTCACAAAGCTCCAGACAATGGAACCAGCTCCGCCGTGTTTCCCGAGCGATGCCAAAATCTCACTTCCCCTCCTTCCAAGCAATGCCTCCGACACTTCCCCGCCGTGGCTTTCTATTTGTACTGAAATGTGGGTTTGGTGGGTTCGAACGCTTGTCAGGAGTTTTATTTTTGGAAGAAGACGGAGAGGATTTGGTGAGCTAATTAAGAGTTTGCCAAGTTTCCCGGAGAAACGAGAAAGGCCCGAACCTGCTCCGAAGCGCATTTTCCGCTCCGCTCCTCGTTTGCCACCTCCTCCTCCTCCTCTGGTTTATAAATCTGCTAATTAATGGTGTTTATTCTCCTCCCAGCCCCGCCTGAGCCGTGGCTTGGTGATTATATGATTAGGCAGCGATGATAACGCATGTGGGAAAAGGTATTTATTGTGTGTGTGGGCTCCCCATCGCTATGGAAACAGGCAAATATTTGCAGACCTCCACTCCTGATTAATAGCTGCCCTATTATATAAAGTCTGGATGGGAGAATTCCCGGTGCCAGCTCCTCAAGCTCTGGTAATTTAAGGCCCCGCCTTAATTTATTATTATTTTAAACCTGCTGGTTCCCATCTTGGGGAGAGGAGCGCTGCTCCCAACGGCTTTGGAGGAGCTCTCACTGATGGTCCCTGCCAGCAGCACCACTGGAAGCTCCATGGGACAGAGGCAGAAGGAAGCTCTGCAGGGATGAGTGGAGCTCCTCCCAGTGATCCGCAGGGCCTTGGGGCATCCCGGAACATCTGCAGGCACCTCGGGCAAAATCCTGTCCCCGCTGAACGGAGAATCCACCGTGACCTCCGAGCTCCTGCCCATGCCTTTGTTTTGGTATTTATAAATAATGCTGAAATGATACCACGGTGCCAGGGCATGACACAATGCCCTGAGCTGGACAAGGACCTCGGAGGCCTTTTCCAGCCTAAAGTGACCCTGCGAGCCTGTGCCTGGTACTGTGAGTGCCAAAAGGATCAGCTGTGCCCCGGGGCATCCCACAGCTGATGCCAGGGGTCTCACTGAGGGCCCGAGGAACCTGCAGCTTCCCCGCTGCCTCCTTGCCATTTGTCACACTGACAGAGGTGGGCTCCTGGATGGGGGAATGTTTAAATCAAGCAGCAATTAATGCATTGTGAAGCACTTGAGGTAATTGTGTAATGAGCAGCGCATTACCTGGAGTGGGAACACATTCCCAGCAGGGAAACAATGTGGCCTTTGCCGGGTGATTTTCGGGTGTGAAGCTTTGCTGTGCTCTGAGCCCTATCCTGCAGCAATCCCACCTTGGCCTGTTTGTCTCCAGCCCGGCGGAGCAGGTCCCAGAGAGAAGAGCCAGAGGAGAATCTCCCCGGCCCAGGGGCTGGGAGAAGCCTGGAAGAGGCACAGGTCAGCCCCAAGGAGGGGGACACGGGGAGTGTGTGCAGTGCCTGTCCTGCTGCCGGTGCCAGGGAGCAAACAAAGTCCCAAACCTCCGTGTGGGCCACTCCTCCCTTCCAGAGACGGGTCCATCACCCAGGGCAGGTAGCCCTGAGCCCCTCCAGCAGCAAATGCCCCCTGGGAAGGCAAAGCACGGCTCAACCCCTGGCTTTTCCTGGAGAAATGGGGAAATGGGGAGTGGAATGCACGGTCTGAGCTCCCGGAGCTGCTGAGCAAGGTGAGTCCCGTGTGCAGGCGCCTTTACCTGAGGAAGATGCTGATGTCCCCTCAGCTGCTCCTCTCAGCCGCCTCGCTCCCGGCGCTGGATTCAATTCCCGGCGCTGCACAACACAAATCAATAAAAAGCATTTATATATCAACTAGCAGAGATTCAAATAACTGCCAGAGTAAGGATGAGCACTTCACACAAAATGTGATTTCTGCTCTGCGGAGGGGAAAACATCCAGTAAGCAGAAAGGGAACTTTTATTGTCTTGCCAAGGAATCGCTGTCCTGCTTTGGCTACACTTAACAGGCAGGAAAATGTTCTTTAATAACATTCATTTAGCAGTTGATTATCGATAGGCCCGAGGTAAATAATGAGCATCTCTCTGCCAGCAGGGACTTTAACCAGGTCGGCACAGTGGCTGCCTCAGTTTCCACGGCTGCCACTCGTTTCCTGGGATCAGCGTCTGGCTGCTTTGCCCCATCAAGCCAACCCTTTTCAGGGCTGTAAACGCACCTTGGCTCCGCCCGCCTGCTGCCGCGGGCTTCTCTCTGCCTCCTTCAACATTTATGAGCCCTCATGCATATGCAAACACCAGCTAATGGGTGCAGCCTGGTGCTGAGCACGAGAGCTGCGTTAATATTTCATGCGAGGATGGGAGGGACCCCCCCGTGCCCGTCAATTTGGCCCTTCATTAATGAATCATTCATTAAATGAGGCGGCACCGGGATGTGGCATTTCCCGGGAAAAGGGCTGCTCGGGAAGGGAAAGGAGTGTCTGGGATGCCAGGTTCTGTCCTGCTCCTGAGGCAGCAGACACAGGAGGAGGCATTCCCTGCTCTCCTCAGAGTCCTCCACGCCAGGAGAGGAGGGTGAGGGTGAGAAGATCCTCGTCTGTGGGATTTGGGTGCCCAGGGCAGGGCAAGGGCTGGGGCTGGGCATTGAGAACCCAGCCAAAGCCTCCAGCTCCCCTGGAAAAGCCTCTGCTCTATGGCTCTCAAGGCTCTGATGAGCTGCACGAGCAGAGACCTCAGAAATTGCTGGATAAAATGTAAACGTGGCTTGGAAAAAGGTTTTTGGAAACCTAACTTTAATAACAATTTCAACTGCCTTAAATATTGATGTGCCTGGTCCCGGCAGAGCTTGTAATTAGAGAAGATTATTTCTCTTTTTTGTGCATTTTGGTGCACGTTGAGGCTGTGCTGACACTTCAATCTCGGCAGAGTTAAAAAATGAAATAAAAAAAGGGTAATTTCCTTTTTTCCCACCTTAATAGAAAGATAAAGCAGCGCCATCATCGCTGCGTTTCCCGCTACAATCTCGGGGTTTAGCGATGTTGATAATCTTCTTTTGATGCTAATTAATTACAAGTAATCATAAAAACAAATGAAAAGCACTATAGTTGCAGCAGGGTTTTTTTATGCTTATGAAATAATGCATCTTTATGCATTTGTTTATTCGCCGTGGAAAAAAATGTAATCTATATTCAGAGGCAAACAGCTTCGGCACGTGGCACCGGGGCTGCAGAGCTCCAGCTGCTTTTCCCTCATCCCAGGGGCAAATCCCAAAGTCCAGCCCTCCAAGGGACTCAGCTCTGTTTGTCCACAGGCTTGGGAATAGGGATTGAGGAGGAAATGCCATTTGTCTGGAGCTAGATCTGCATCCAGAAAGAGTGCAGATCAGTTCCAGGAGGAAGGAGGAGGAGGAAGGAAAGGGGAACGGGACCCAGCATCACATCCCGGTGCTGCCTCAGCACCGTCCCCGTCTGGGAGCTGCTGGGATGGAATTCCCACCTGGAATTCTGGCCTGGCTTCCATCTCCTGCTGCCTGGGAAATAAATTGTTTTTGGGGAAGAGGCTTTGGGTGGCTGCAGCTGCTCCTCGGGATCCTGTGGGATCTGTGTGGGAGGAAGGTGGGAGAAGTTCCTCCTGCCCTGGCCGAGGCTGGGCTGAGCCACCACAGCTCAGCGCAGGGGACTCTGAGCACTGAGGGCTGGCCACATCTGCATACTGCATGCTAATGGCCACATCTGCATACTGTATGCTAATGAACACATCTGCATAATGTATGCTAATGGCCACATCTGCATACTGTATGCCAATGTTCCAGGTTTGGGCTGGCCACATCTGCATACTGTATGCCAATGTCCTGGTTTGGGCTGGCCACATCTGCATACTGTATGCTAATGACCACATCTGCATACTGTATGCCAATGTCCAGGTTTGGGCTGGCCACATCTGCATACTGTATGCTAATGACCACATCTGCATACTGTATGCTAATGGCCACATCTGCATACTGTATGCCAATGTTCCAATCTGGGCTGGCCACATCTGCATACTGTATGCTAATGTCCACATCTGCATACTGTATGCCAATGTCCCAATCTGGGCTGGCCACATCTGCATACTGTATGCTAATGACCACATCTGCATACTGTATGCCAATGTCCGGGTTTGGGCTGGCCACATCTGCATACTGTATGCTAATGACCCGGTTTGGGCTGGCCACATCTGCATACTGTATGCTAATGACCACATCTGCATACTGTATGCTAATGACCACATCTGCATACCGTATGCTAATGGCCCAATTTGGGCTGGCCACATCTGCATAGCAGCCAGGGGTGTGGCTCTGGCCGGGCCGGGGATCTGCCGCGGAGGTGCTGAGGCTCCCCAGCACGTTTTTGTTAATCAAACGGCACGGAATTAACAGCGCTACGGTTAATTGCCTTGTTAGATGGAAATGAAGCCCCGCTCGAGACACGGAATCTGGAGTGTGACTCACTGTTCCAACCACATTTAGATTGTTGTCAGTACAATTAGGATTTGGAATTTACAAGTGGAGGGGGGGGTTTATTTTATTTAATCAATCGCCATAGCAACGGCAAAATTCAACAGGAGATGTTGCCTGTTCCACGTCCAGGGGTTTGGACTCGTTCCTCTGGCTGGGGGAAAAGCAAACTTCAAAACTTGGAGAAAAGCAGCTTTTTCAGCAGCTTACCCTGGGTGCTTCCTAAATCCATGGGGGATTCCAGGCCGGGACAGATCCTTAGGAACACACGGCTTCCCAGGAAACTCAGCGCTCCTGCCTCGGGGTCTCTGGGAATGAGGGATCCTCCTCTGGAAGGGAGAGAAGCTCTTATGAACTCTTCACAGGGACACAGGAGAAAGGAGCAGGGAACAAAGGAGCCCATTTCCCAGGAATGCTATCCCTAAAGGAAACCCCTGGAGGGGCAGGAGCATTCCCATCCCTCGGTTTGCCTTTCCTGCCTCTGCAGGTGCAAGCAGCGGGGCACATGTGGCAGCCAGCTGTCCTGCACCTCGGCTCATCCTGAAATATTCATCAGGAGACGTGCCTCGCTGCTCCAGCCCCAGTCTTGCACGTCAGCCTCAACAGATGGGGAAAAAAAAAACCAAAAAAAAAACCGGGGAAATGTATTTAACATTCCTGCTCGTTCCCTTAAAAATAATTATCTGATTAAACGTGCCAAATGTGATTTTTTCATTTCTCCGTCCTCGCGCCCTGGTACAAGTGGAGTTCAATTGGCAGCTCTGACAGGAATCCTAAAAGGAGCAGCCAGGCAGGGCCCTGGGAGCTGGCACCGAGGATTTGGGGCTGCCCAGGGCCTTTGTGTGCCAGCCAAAACACCCAAGTGACACCGGGGGCAAAGGGGATGGAAACCCTGGGAGCCCCAGGATCTGCAGGGAAAGGCTCTGGGATCCTCAGGAATCCCCTGGGAGTCTCAGGATCTGCAGGGAAAGGCTCTGGGATCCTCAGGAATCCCCTG